GCTTAACTCCAGTGTTTGTTTCTCGCTTAAAGATGTCTACGACAATCTTAGCCCCGCACTACATACATGTCAATATGACACCACCAATTTACCTGAAAATCGTATGTGTTCTTCAAAAAAGTTATTTGAATACGACACGGTTTCGTACAGTTTTCACGCATGAATGCATCTCTCCGACCGAACTTTCTTATGGGACTAGTGTTCTGTTGTCTATGACGGTACGCTGGGGGCCATAAGGGAATCAGCTGCTAGCTAGCTGGCCGTGAGGCGCATTTATTTTTAGCACGCTGAATACAATTCGATGCCTAATATCCCATACGACCCCCAAAGTTCCGTCATAGACAATAGAACACTAATCCCATAAGAAAGTTCGGTCGGAGAGATGCATTCATGCGTGAAAACTGTACGAAACCGTGTCGTATACAAATAACTTTTTTGAAGAACACATACGATTTTCAGGTAAATTGGTGGTGTCATATGATTAAGGGAGAATCATAGACGAAAACAAGGTAAAGTTTGAATATATTTATTCACATATTGATAGATTATTTACCAGTTGAAAACTATGCAAAACGCTGTTAAAACCGTGTCATACTCTTCTCTATTATGCACTCTTGATATACATATATATTTTAGAAGCTGGGTGAACGTATATTAACCAGTACAGTTAGTACTGCATTAGGTCATAACCTAACATTACCTCTGCAATCACCTCTACTAAGGACAACAGTTTAAATGGAGGATGTTGGCTGATTTCTTGTGCCTGTGGGACAGAATCGGTGATCCAAAAGTTGGCAAACTGTACATCTCCCTCTACAAACCTACGCCAGGACTCCAGGGTGAACATCGCGTGTGTAGCATAGGCACTCACTGCAACAGCTCCACTACAGAGCAGAGTCTGAAAAGAAGTGGTATAATGACACTGTACATGCAGTAAGGTATCTAGGGCCCTTTGTCAAAATAAATATTGGTCTTGATATTAACTTTTTCTCATAGATTGGACTGATATACATTGTCTATAAGAAATTCATAATTTCACCATGTTTCTGTCAACAGTCTGTGAGAAAAGGTTAATGTTAAGACTAATTTTGTTTCTGACAATGGGCCCCTGGTAAGATGAAGAAAGTACACTCAAGCATTGTGCAATGACAAAACAACTTCTAGAATGGCCAAATCTTTTACACAACAGCAGATACTTGGTAGAAGAATACAGTATTGATATAATCGCAATAACAGAGATCAAATTGATATTAAACTATTAAACATGTTTTACAAACCACAATGTAACAAATGGCTCCATGGATAACAGATAATTGCAATTATTTTTATGCAACTATTATTCTAGGTAGTCAAGGGCTTACATCAACAGAAAGCTAATTTAGATTGTATAACTTTATGTTATTATACGAATTGTACCTTTGCACACTCTACTAGTGTGTTTCCAGTGTGAACAAGATCATCAATAATCACGGCATGTTTTCCAGCAGGCTTACCTGTGAGTGATGAAATAGAACTCAACAAAGGATATAAACAGTCTCAATAGCATTCCAATACACAATGCCAAAGTTGGATGAATAACTAAGAATACCTCTGCCACCTTTCACTGCCAGATAATTTTTTTAATTACTTCAGTAATATGTGCAGCCAAGAGAGTCTGTCAAGGTCAAATACACTGAAGCAACAATAGCCAACCGTATTAGAGAATGATATTAGAGAAAATTACAAACTATTGTTTCCAATGAGCTGTTGTATTCTCTTTAGGGGTTGGCAGCTCTGCCACTAGCATAAACGACCTAAATTCATAGAAGTAGTACCAACTTGACTGTCTGGTGAACTAGGTATTAGCAAGGAATGAGATACATGTCCAGCAGTTGAACTGCCACTACTCACCTCCCCTGATTCGAATGATTTTATGTGCACCCTCACTTAACCTTGAACAGGTAACAACAGTGTTGTCGGGAAAGAAGGAGCCAAACCTCTTGAAAGCACCATCATCAGGGAAAACTACACACCAGCTCTCCTGCTCAAGATTCTCCAGTTCACGTTTTATCAGAGGAATCGCCGACACAAGCCTTCATCAAAACACGTGTATATGGTTAGATTTCACATATATTATAGCTGGAGTAGTTAAAGACTTTTATATTTTTATACTTTTATTCTTTATCTACTCCTGATTATAGTAATAGAAAGGTCAGACACTGTTTATGTTAGGGCTTTCTATATCAGAGACTGAGAGGCACAGTTGCAGCATGTATAGTCACAAACAGTGTGGTATTAGCTTTTGCAGGTGAATGCTGACCAATGAAATGGTAGTCAATAATGGCATATGTGAATAAAATTAAACACGTGCAGTGTTATCACTTATCAGGCGTACATGAATTCCGGAATAACTTTCCCCCGGGCGTAGATGGAGGGTCACGTGATGTGGCTGCACTTGTGTTAGGATTAGGGTCAGGGTTAGGGTTAGGGCTAGTGCTGCCACGTAGCGGCACCCTCCATCTACGCCCGGGGGAAAGTGACACCCCATGAATTCTCTGAATCATGTATTCCTGGTATAGTTTTATTTCTGCTAGGACTCGCATAAGACTCAACTAAGAATTCACATGTTTGTAGTTTTAATATACAGTATTAGCATCCAAATGTGCTGTGTAAGCACACACACACACACAGACACACACATAAAGATAATTGCAGAAGGAATAGTTATACAGGTAGTATACCTTGGTATGACATTGTCACCAAAGTAGAATCTTTCCTGCAGGGCATGTATGTCAAACATGAGGATCTGTGCTGGACCGCGTGCCGTCAACGGCACAGCTGACAGCAGAGTAGCTAGGGTCTGCAGCGACACAAACCTATAATGTCATTAAGCTGAATCAAAGTCAAACAATAAAATTACAGTAGGTCAATTGACTCGATTCCATCATCTTTACTTGCCTACATTAATCTATACTAACAAGCAATTAATCTTTCTTCGTTTATATCGTCGTTAACTCATACTTTCAAGTACCAACTGCTCTCTTCAGCTCACTCTCAGCCCTAATGTCTCTGATCTCATGCCAGCAATAAGTAGCTAAATAAATTAGCTGATGATCATAGATTTATGCAGCCTACAATATGGCATTGGCACATCATGCAGCAAGAGTACTTATGGGGCCCGGGTATGAGCAATACCCCATATAATAAACCAATCTGAATTCCAGAGAAACTACTTGCATCTGTTTTGCTAGCACAGAATTTATTAGATCTAGTATCATCAAGAGCTAATAATACCTAGAGTGTACAACGGAAAAACAGGAAAATAGTGCTATTTCACGACATGATTATTCTACTTTGCCTGCGAGTCTAGAATAATTTTATGGTATTGCATTAAGCAGAATTCTTTGCTCTCTAAAACAAGACCAACCGCTTGTGATGTGGATTGGAGGCGCTGTGAGGCCTGTGGGAGGGAAAGTTTACGAGCTAATATCTCAGCCTAGGAGTATCGTATTAACAAGCGGTTGGTCTGGTTTTAGAGAGCAAAGAATTCTGCTTAAGGCAATACCATAAAATTATTCTAGACTCGCAGGCAAAGTAGAATAATCATGTCGTGAAATAGCACTATTTTCCCGTTTTTCCGTTGTACACTCTAGGTATTATTAGCTCTTGGTATCATTGATACACAATCATTGTTATTACAAATGCATCACCATACCTTGGCTGTTACAACTTGACCTTCTTTATCAATTTTTTCCATTGTCCCAGTTGCAAAATAAGGTAATATGATATGGAAAGATCGGGCAAGGTACCTAAATAAAATAAAGATACTGCTATCAATTTTGTGAACATCATGGTAAGAAAGTCCATGCTGAAACTGTAATTGGTGAACGTCACAGAACTAAACTAGTAAAGTAATGACTTGTAAGGTATGTTTAAGAATGACAGAACTTACTACATGTCAAGAAGAAACTAACTGGAACGCCATCAAAAACAGAAAAACAGAGAACGGTCAGGAAAGAATATTTATAGACAATGTACCCCAAAAAAATATGTTAAGATGGTACAGTTTCTGGTAAAACTTAATATCTTAATGTACTTCATGGTATCCTTCTTTCGACATCAATAAATTTTCAACTATTAATGGCAAAAAATGGAAATAACTAAGCTAGCTTTACACTTTTTGACATGATGATGTAACAGAACTATTTTTCAGAAAATGTTATGGAATTATATCCAATACCTTGGTATTGCATAGAGAACAGACAGTTGCTCAAATATTACAGCTGGCGTGTGGAAACTTGCCAGAAATATCACTGCAAAAAAGAAACGTTAGTATAAGCACACACTATCTCAATTGTTCAATACCATTGAGTGGTCAATGTTACATGTGATGTAAATTGCATAAGCAATATCTAACTACAAATGAATATATGAGGGTTGAAAGGTTTACTAGATTCTAGCTTCTAAATTCCACTGTTAAAGTGCCATAGTTTTTATTTCAAAATAAAGGCAAACAAAATGATAGCTGTTTGTGGTTGCATTAAAATAAAAGCCAGGGTCAGTAGGCCACAGAATCTATTCACAATTTTATATTGCTAGTGTAGGTCAGCAAAAATTCATTACAGTCACTGAAACACAGTGTGGCATATTACAAACAACACATTTTTTACTAAGACGAATGACTCATTTACGTACTCACTCGCTTGTGTGTAAAAATGTATATTAATAATAAATAATGTGTAACCAATTATTATTAACATTAACATTAACACCAATTATTAACACATGCATACATACACATAAACACATGGACTTAATTATAGATCTACTAACAACATTGGATTACATTTTACAATATATTGTGCTTGCTATTCAATGGTACAAAAACAAACCCTGGGGTCAAAAACCATGCAATCTCACAACCAACATAAGAAAAAAAAAGATGCCGGGAAATTCTAGAGTCACTTGGGTAACCAGAAAAAACGTCTATAACCTTATTTGGTATATTATATCTGAAATGCAACGAAAATGATGCAACTATATCCCACATTTAGTAGTGAAAAACTTTATATGCAAGCACAAACAGGTAATTTTTAATCCTGATGTGTCCCATAGACACAACAGATCTTATTGTGGTAAACACAGAACTTGGTTATTTACAATCTTATTTAATGTGATACATCAAAGAATTATATATGCAGATTACTGACCATCTTTGCCAGCCATATCCTTGACATCATCAATGAAGATGTTAGGAAAGCCATCTTTGAAATGATCCCACTGAATGTTCTTCTTGAACAGAGCACACCTCCTCTTGCTCTGAGAGACAGGAAAATAAGCTGCATAGACATTATCAATCAAAATTTCATCATCAAAATTTAACCATGTGCATTTATTTAGCTAAACTATAGCTATTACTATTGCCATAAACATATGTATTCTATATATATATGTTCATGCTATTACATATCCAACATACTAAGAAGGAGAGCGTACAACGATGAAATGCTGAAACCATGTCGCAGTATTAGTCTAATTAAGAAACTTTGCCCGTTTTATTTTGACGATTCTTTGCGGTAGTATTTTAATCAGCTGTCCTACCTTACTAATATAAAGCAAACCGCTTGTCCCTACGATGCTCCTACGCTGAGATCATTAGCGGTGAAAATCTGGAATTTTTGCCGAAAACCGACTGGAGATCCCTGTTGGCTGAGACCCTCTCTCGCTTTGGGATAGCTTCGGGAAACCTCGCGTATTTCCGTCAATGATTGACAAATGGAATGATTGACGTCTGTTATTGATTGCCATAATGATGACCCCCATCTGTGCCCACCTCACGCTGGATGTAGTAAACTCTGTAGTACTGACGTAATGAGTCGGCGCTACCATGGCATGGCGCTACACAGCGGCGACCGGAAGCAACATACTGGCCACAAAGCGAGAGAGGGTCACAGCCAACCGGGATCTCGAGTCGGTTTTCGGCAAAAATACCAGATTTCCACCGCTCATTATCTCAGCGTAGAAGCATCGTAGGGACAAGCGATTTGTTTTATATCAGTATGGTAGGACAGCTGATCAATACTACCGCAAAGAATCGTCAAAATAAAACGGGAAAAGTTTCGTAATTCGACTAATACTGCAACATGGTTTCAGCACTTCACCGTTGTACGCTCTGACGCTCTCCTTCTTAATACGCTCTTTTTATTATGCATATAAACACAATATTATACAGGTCTACACTACATAAGTGTATAATAAATGTACAAGCAAATGAGACTGTTATGGTAACTATTTAGTATTTACCAAACAGCTGCCATTAGCTGATTACTCTATTCAAAGTCAAGCGTGTCTTCTAATCTACAGAATGCGGGTATTACCGCCAAGCAGGGCTCGAATTAAGCGACGAGAAGGGCAAGGCAATTTTTTTAGGGCATGTGAGAAATCGCCTT